TAACTTATGATACTTTCCGAACAAATTAAAAAGAGTAGAATCTTTTTAATTTGGACACCTGCTTAATGGTAACAAATTAGCAGAATTCAAAATAAATGTATTCAGTTAATTGAGATAGTCGGATAAAGGRAACTAATAGATCACTACCCTATGTGTCCCAATTATGCTGATTCAACTGTATTGAAGAATATTAAAAATGAGATATATAGGTATTAGATTTGGATTTCTTTAAAAGAGTATCTAATTTTACTTATTAGTATTACGTATTTATGTTGTATGAAAATATATGTATGACTAATTGTATGTTTTTTCAAATGTTATGCATATTTAGAAAATAATAAAGAAGCATTTATACTGATGTTCTTGTATGCACGGAAAATGAATGAGAGTAATGCATTGGTTTTGATTCAAAATTATTATCAATTTAGAAAGGAACATGACCTATGGTTTCGTCAATTGGAACCTTTTGATCCAAAAATTCAAATGGCTATTCAAGATGGTTTTCCTTCTGTAATTTCAAATTTGGATAGGTTAATATAATTTAATTTTCCATTTTAAATATTAGCTTTTTATTAATAATTTAGATAATATTTAAATTTAAATTGCATAAAATATATTTTTCCTTTGTTTGTAGACGAAGTCGTCGTGTTCTTTTTATGGTTTGCTCCCAATGGAACACTGAACGTTATTGTTTACTGACTATATACAGAGCATTATTAGTATCTCTGGAACATTTGATCCAAGATGTAAATACTCAGTATAATGGTTTTGTATTTATTATTGATTGGACCAATTTTACTGCTCGTCAGACAATGAACATCAGTCCAAAGTTGTTACATGTAATGCTACAAGGATTACAAGACTGTTTTCCTGCAAAAATAAAAGCTGTACATTTTATCAACCAACCATGGTATATTGATGGCCTAATGTCTGTCATTAAACCATTTTTAAAACAAAAAACAAAAAATAAAGTAAACATTTTTAAAAGTTACTCTTAGAATTAAAATTTTACAACATTAAATACTGGATGATTCAACAACCATGCTCATCTTACATTTACCATTAAAAAATATTTTTATTCTCATTATGAATTTTTAAATTTTATTCAAAAGGAATAATAATTACTCACGCATTTGTTGTCTCCATTTTACAAATGTACGATATAACAAATATTTATTTACTAGTTTAAGTTGTTTGCCGCCACTTTTGATATTAGAATGAATTGAAATTTGTAGTCAAACTTTTAGGTAAGAATATTATTTGTGCTTACGCTTCAAATTTTATTCAATATTTAATTTTTCAAGCAAGACAGGAGCATTTTTAAATTTTAAATTTCACATATCCATAACTAGCTTGAGAGTTAAAATATTGAAAAACAAACCGCTGAATATATTCTTACCAAAAAGTTTGGTAATTGGTCAATTTACTCTAATATCAAAACTAGGTAACAGCACACTATTGAATAAAAGTGAATAAAATCGCCATGTCATACTTGTTTAAGATGAAGACAATAACCTTTATTTTCCTTACGAAAACTGCTCTTTGGTGCGTGTAAAGACCATATTTTGAAATTCTTATATTTTTTTTATACCATCAATAATGTGTCCTGTACAGACCTCTATTGTTATCCAATGAAAATTGTCATTTTTTTAACTATTTTTACTGTTTTTTTTTTTTAAATCTTGATGTATCTATATTAAAATTCTGACAAGAAGTTTTTGAACATTACACACACTAACAATAATAGTCAGTCTAATAATGGTCTTACATCTAGTATAAAATATATGCAATATTTAATCTAGTACCAAGTACCTACTTATTATTTTCAGACAAATTTACAATTAATTAATTAATTAATTAATATTGTTTGTTATTATAATAATTTATAAAATTACAAATTATTTTATTTATTTTTTTATCATTATTGCCCTATGGCCTATATCTTTATTAATTTATCATAAAGCTATATATTATAATGGTGATTCTTATATGACAAAAATAAATTTTTATATTTTACGTGACACTTTTTAAATTACACAGATATTTTAATATATGATAAAATAGCCTTTTAAATATTTATTTTAAAATTCTAAAAATCAGAATTAGAATAAATTCATTATCACTGAACAAATGGTATTTAAGCATGCTTGGTTAATCACCCTATGTATATATATTACAGTACATTATGAAATAATGTTCATATAATATACTAATTAACAATTTTTATATTTTTATTTCATAGATTATATTGCATGGTTTGAATTTGAATACCCTACATAAATACTTTCCAAGGGATATTCTACCTTCAGAATTAGGCGGCGAACAACCTCCATATGATTCAAGGATTTGGTTAAAAAGTCTTTTAGGGTCTTCTTTGGGAGTTGATTTATAATTTTATTACTATCATTGAAATTGAATGCGCATTAATTTTCTTAGCGAGGACAGGTCTAAATATTTATAATTATAATATATATTATTTTATTTATATAATTCATACAGAACATTTTTATTCTGTACCCATTAATTGTTTAAGTTTTTTTGTTACCGCTGCATGTGCAATTTTAGATTACATATTCAGTGATTTATTAATATCCAACATAGGTGGAGGTCTCATTGAATTTCAACTATGGAAATATTTATTAGACAAATTAATTATTGGGTGATAAACTGATTTTAATGCATCACAATATTTATTATTGAGTTTAATTTAATGTTTTTTTTTTTTTTGTATAGTTTTTAATTTTTTATTATAATTACATACAGCTGAAACTGTGATACATTTTACATCCAAAATGACTTATTCCAATATAAGTTAATAATGTAATTAAATTACATAAATATGTGATGTACTGATGTCAGTATTAATACATTAGATGAATGGTCCAACGGTGCTCTAAATTAGTTATTGTTAATGTTTTCAATAGACATTTTATTTTCATTTGTTTTACAATATATATATGTATATGTATATTTTTCCATTGTATTCGTATATGTATATGGTATATACGTATACATATGATTTATAATAATAAAAAAACACCAATATTTGTATTCATCAAAAAAATATATTTCATAAAAATGTATCCAACAATGTTACCTTTTCTTAGAAGAAGACTTTAGTTTCCTACTTCCTAGTCTCTTTACATTTTAATTTTATTGCTTATAATCAAACAATGTTAACATTGATTTTAAATTATAATTGTTATACAGTTCGACTATTTTATTTTTATTTTTATTGATTGTAACTGGAACTTAAAATGTTTTTGATTTTTTATATTGTCATCACAACCAGAAAGATATGCAAGGATTAAACATAATTTCCCCATATTTAAAATACTCATTTATTTATAATAATTTACATACAATTGTATTTGAATTATGACAAGTCAACTATTTAAAAACTGTTTTTATTTTCATTATTTTTAAATAGAATTTTCAAACTACTCGCATATATATTTAATATATTTTGTTATAATTAATCATTAAAACTGTTTTGCATATTTTAGTATTTTACCTATTTTAAGGCATATAATTTTTTATATCTTGAATTTATTACATAATGTATCACAACTGAGCTCTAATCATGAGTAGAATCTTGATGCCAACTGTTTTTCTACATAATTTATTCAAACTAATTTTATATAAATTGATATATATTATGTTATATTTTTATGTATATATTTATATATTTTTTATATTTGAAAATATATATATTCATTATTGCACAAAATATTGTAATTAGGTTGTGATACATTATGTAATAAATTCAAGATATAAAAAATTATATAAATTGATATATATTATGTTATATTTTTATGTATATATTTATATATTTTTTATATTTGAAAATATATATATTCATTATTGCACAAAATATTGTAATTAGGTTGTACCTCTAGGCTCTGATCATTTTGTTATGGCTTAAACAATCTGCCTACCAAAAATTTGTAAAAATATGGCAACCTTTATACAGACTAAGGAGGTATTCAAATTTTATCATCTCAATAGTTGAAAAAAATTGATGTTATATAGGTGATAGCCGATAGATATTAATAAAACTTAAGTACTAGAAATAAAACTTCAAATGGACACTTATCTTTCTGTATCATTTCCATGATCGCTATAATGATTATGMATAATATATATTAAATATGTATTGTATACATTAATTTTAGTTTCCAGTTCTTTAATACGGTTTTCTTCAATGACATCAACACCCCTGGGATCCACGAYGCACAGTATGAATTCCTCTGCTGTCTGCAATATATCAAACTTTAAATCATTAATTATTGAGAACATTAAATCGATTTAACCATAGAAATTTAAATTTATTATATGTCCATGGATTGGTCCTGAAATATTCAACCAGGATAAGAAAATGCACCTTGACTCAAATAAAGACAGCATATATTAATTCGCTAAGATCGCGGTTTACTCAAAGTGAAATTTAGGTAATAACTAATAACTATATCATACATTCTCTAATACTAACAATTACTTTAGTAAAGATATGCAGTAGTTAGGGTACTTGTTTCAAAATTAAAATTTTTTTTAAAAATTCCCTTTTATAAATAACGCTATATCGTCAAATAGTCAATACTTAATAACTAGGTATAATAAAAATATCACTGTTCAGGAAACTTCACTTATTGGAAARACAAATGAACATCAGGAGAACTGACTATAGTACTGACGGTTAGACGGTTCCGCCCTATGTCCCTATACGTGGAGTTGGGATACTTTTATCAGCTTGCATGTATTTTCACTATATTTTGTATAATGTATACATATGTAGGTTCCTACCTTTTGCTTTAACTGTTTTAACTTTTAAGTGAACAGTGTCACAGTATAAGACCTATAATAGCTATATTTAGGATCAGAAAACCTTTTCAACATCACTATCATATTTTTCTTAAGCTTTTCGACAAAATTAAAATATAAAATTGACAATTTTGTAAGTTAATGTGATTTTCCGGTTTTTCGTAACTAGATTTAACTTGTCAATCAGCTAAGCATTAAACTTGTGGTTTGGATCGTATAATACAATGTGTCAAGAGGTCGTGAAGTGTTTACTCAGTCTGTGTTTCATAATCAAAATTATCTTTGGGACTATACAATTTAAGACTCTATAGTGTATAACRATATTTATACTTATGAATTATTACTTAATTACCTTAATCTATGGACTATGTTTCATATTATTATGTATTAAAAATTTAAAAGAATATGTTTATCGAGTATAGTTGTGATTTATAGATAGAAAACATCATCGATGTTGATGAATATTTCAAAAATTATTCTTGAGATCCCATGAAAATTTAGGGAGTAGGTAGT